GCTACCCAGCTCCCAAGCCCCCCTCGGGCCTGCAGGCAGCTGACATCTACGTGCAGACCAAGAGCAAGCTCCGCCACGTGGAGACTGAGACCTTCAGGAAGGAGGTAGCGAGCCCTGGCCAGAGGGGAGGTGGCCTGGTTCCTGGGTGTGGACAGTGCCCCTGACCCCTAGCTTCTGGCAGCTCCATGGGTGCAGGAAGTTAGACAAAGCCTCCGCCTGAGTGGGGAGTTGTAGTTCAAGGAATGAAGACCCAGATAGCCATGCCATGGCAGAGCTGGGTCTGTGCCACCTCTCATGGGTGGCAGGGTTGTCGGAAGTTGACAGCATGTGTATAGACTGTCCTCCTGCAGACAGACACGTGCCTGCCAGAAGCCCTGGGCTCCAGCAAATGGCACCAAGGGGAGGAGAAGGAAGCTAAGAGGACACTAGCAGACTGTGCACCTGTGGTAGAGGGGGCTGAGAATGGCTTGGGCCTGGGGCTTGAGCGCCCAGGGGTGGAGGAGCCATTTCTGAGGTGGGCAGAGCTGACCTATGAGAAGGGGGACAACCCTTGTGGCACAAGTAACACTACTGTAGGGTGATCAGCCAGCAGCTCCCGAGGCCTTGGGGTGGCAGACAGGTTGAAGTCAGGTCAGGGCAGGTTTGGGAATCCTAGGCAGCCCTGGAGCACTGGCTGGGGGTCAGCTGAGGCCATGGGTGGCCAGGTGTGCAATTGCAGCTGCCAGCTAGGGTCCTGCTGCAGTGCAGACCTTGTAATTCTCTCCCTAGAACAAGGCAGGCCGCTGCAGGGCGGGGTTGGTGATATTTGCACAGGTGACCTGGACCACAGTACCATAGGGTGGGGGAGGCAAAGGCGGGAACTGAGGTGCCAGCTGCTCCAGGACGTCACCCTCTCCTTCCGTCTTTGGAGGAGGCAGAGGGGGCTTCCTGGGCACAGCTCAGTTTCCCAGGCTTTAGCATGTGGCCAGACCCACAGCCAGGGTACAGGCGGCCTGGCCAATACCAACTCCTTGCGGGTGAGCCCAGGCCTGAGTTGCCCAGCCCTCCTTCCCCTCCGTGGTGCATGTGTACCTGCGTGCGTGCAGAGCGGCAGGATCCCGGCCTCTCCACAAAGGGCCCATTGTGCACCACTGCACCGCCAGCGCAGTGCTGGGACTGTGGAAGGGAGCGGGGTCCTGGCCACCGCAACTCCTGGGCTGCAGGGGGCCACTGTCCCAGAAAACGAATACAGCGTGTCGCGTTTCCTGCAACGTGAGCCTGGCCAGGCCGGGTGCGGAGGGTCCGAGGCCATCAAGGGGCCGCACAGGCTGTGGGGTGGGCAGGACAACCCCCGCCTGGTCACTCGGCCTTTGGCCTCACCAACTCGTTCCCTATGCCGGTGCTGGGCTGGGGGAAGGCAGCGACGACGGGGCGGGACGCAGTGCTGTCACCCGAGCCAGCCTGGCCACCCTGAAACTCGAGGCTTGGGCGCGGGGGTTGGTGTCGCTTACGGGGATGGCCGGATGGCGATGGTTTCCAGATGCAGGAGGGGAAGGGTAGGGGCGCGACCCGGAAGCGGCCGAATATTAGAGGCTGCACAGGGCGGTCAGGCGCTGGCCTCCAGCGCAGCGGGGGAGGGGGTGAATGAAGGTGGGGGGTCC